CTGCAGTCACCATCTGCTGATTTTGGAGCCCCCAAAATAAAGTCTGTCACTGTTTCCATTGTTTCCCCATCTATTTGCCATGAAGTGATGGGACTAGATACCATGATCTTAGTTTTCTGAATGTTGAAGCCAACTTTTCACTCTCCTCTTTCACTTGTATCAAGAGGTTCTTCAGTTCTTCACTTTCTGGCAGAAGTATGGTGTCATCTGCATATCTGAGGTTATTGATATTTCTCTTGGCAATCTTGATTCCAGCTTGTGCTCCATCCATTCCAGCATTTCTCATGATGTACTCTGCACATAAGGTAAATAACCCGGGTGACAATATACCACCTAACTAAGATAATTTATTTAAATTCCCTAACAGGAGGTCAATTAAGAGAGGATGCTGGGCCCTGCCCAGAGCATGTATTTCTCAAAGTCAGGAGACCTCCCAGACCATACACGTGCAGAAAAGGCTCCTTGGAGGCCAAAGGAGAGTTATGTCAAGGGATGTTCTACCCAGCTGCCTTTTCAGTAAAATCCGTCTTGGCTAAGAGAAGCATGCGCACACATGGGAGGATCTTGAAATATACCAAATATAAACTGTGAAAGAGGCAAATTAAATTGATTGACCGAAGGAAAACTGGAAGAAATGCCCTTTAGTATCAGAGTAATTCAAACTGCCAGGAGGGTGTGACTCAGAGACTCCCACTCATTGAGTCATCCTCTCCCTCTTGTACTGTCCTGTTTTCCCCTAATAAATACCTTACTTGCTCCACTACTTTCTTTCTTTGTGGGAATTGTTTTCTGCAAAGCTGAAGGCCAGGGCCCTTGTCGCTGACCACTGGTCTACTGGCTAGGCTCTGGTGCTCTCACCGCTGCAACCCAACCTCAACCTCTGGCTGGGAATCCCAGCCCTTTTGGGAGCTGTTGCAGGCTGAGATCCCTGAGATGACCCTGACCGGGGATCCAACCAACACCCCTGCATTGCAAGGTGGATTCTTAACCACTGGACCACCAGAGAAGTCCCTTATTATTTTATCATTAACGTGATGTCTGCACTCCTAGACATTTTGGAAAACCAAAAATGTAAAACAAATTAAAATCTTCCATAATCTCTTTGCCTAGAGACATCCATTGCTTGCCTCCCACTCAAAAACTTTGTTTTAAACACATGGTAGACGTCATACCATATATACAACTTTATGTCCTGTTTTTAAAACTTAAATAGCAGTTGTAAAGTGTTTTCCACATACTATCTGTAACTCTACCTTGGAAAAAGAGATTTAGAGAAGCTGGTTGTGAGAAAATACTTAAGTGAGTGGCTGTGACCAGGGCTCTTTGCAGCCCAGATACTTAATGAGAGGGACCATCTGGCAGATGAAAAAGGGATCGATCCCTGGACAGGAGGAGGTTGGAAGCAAGCCCCCAGAGAGCCAGAACTGGAGTCCTGCCTGCCTCCAGGCTTAAGAATTGGCCAGCAACAGGGTCAAGTTCAGGCTTTTGGCAGTCCCGGAAACCAGGGGTGTGTGGGCGGGCGTTGGGGAAGGACTGGGAGGGGGTGGGGGCGGAGATTCGAGGTCCCAGAGCAGAGCTAGGACGCGGGGTGCTTGCTGTTTCTGTTCTTCTGGGGTCTTCCCCAGATTTGGGGGGAGTTTTGAAGATGAGTGGAACCGGGGCTCCCGGGCAGAGGGCGGCGAGAGGGAGGCGAGAGGGGAAAGCGGCCGACGCTCGCGGCGGGCGGGCGCAGACTGATACACCTCGGAAAGCCGGGAGCTTGACCCACCAGCCCGAGAACCTGCTACTCCCTGCCTCCAGCTGCTTGGCTCCCGGAGACCGAGCTCGATTGAGAGCCAGCAGACATCACCCTTTCTTCCCAAACCTAGCCGTTTGTTTGTTTCCGTTGCTCTTCCTTCTCCCTTCTGTGCTCTCCCTCCCGTGCCCCCGGTTCCTCCGATCTGTATTCTCTCCAGAGCCGCAAACGTCTTACTCCTTCCGCGGCCTCCAGATCTCCTCCTTCGCCAACCGCAGCTGGACGCGCACGGACTTCCTCGCGTGGCTGGGGGAGCTGCAGCTCTATACTTGGCGCAATGAGTCGGACACCGTCGGCTTCCTGAAGCCTTGGTCTCAGGGCACATTCAGCGAGCAGCAGTGGGAGCAGCTGCAGCATACATTTCAGGTTTATCGCAGCAGCTTCACCGGGGACGTCTGGGAATTCGTCAAAATACTGCACCTCGACTGTGAGCTGAGGGATGGGATCGTGGACAGCTGCCCAGGGGGAGACAGGGGATGCTGAAGCCCAACCGGGAGGTTCTGGCCCCTTGTGATTGTCTCCTCTTTCCCTTTTGAGTCCCACTTCTGCCTGAGAGGTCCCAGCTTGAGTCCTCAAGATACCTTGTTCATCCCGCTGCAGGTCACCCATTCCCATTTACATGAACTTTGGGGTCCCCAGGATAACCCTCACACCAGTTTCTTCAACTCCTTTCAGTCTTCTAAGTTCTTCATTGATCTCTTTCTATTCCACTCCTCAGATCCTCTTGAGATCCAGGGATCTGCAGGATGTAAGTTGCTTCCGAGGAACACGTCAGAAAGCTTCTTACATGCTGCATTTCAAGGAAGGTATGTCCTGAGTTTCCAAGGAATGTCTTGGGTGCCAGCCCCAGATGCCCCCCCTTGGATCGAGGAGCTCTGCAAGGTGATAAATGGGGACCAAGGGACCAAGGAAACAGTGCACTGGCTCCTCCATGACGTCTGCCCAGAATTGGTCAGAGGCCTCTTGCAGACGGGGAAGTCTGAGCTGGAGAAGCAAGGTCAGCCTGCTTTTGTCACCTCTTGCCCTCCACTCCACTCTGGGGCTCCATCTGGGGTTTTCATTCCAGGGGTTCACACCCGTTTAAGCATCACCGGAAGAGGAGGGGATGGATAAGGTGTGAGGGTATTTAAACATTCCACAGACATTAACTAGGTACCTTTTGGGGTCCATGAATAGAATTAAATAAATCCTGCAGATCAATCAGGATGTATACTTGAGGAGGGAGAGGAGAAGGCAGATGAACAGTTAAAGCAGTGTCCTGGTGGCTCAGATGGTAAAGAGTCTGCCCGCAATGCAGGAGACTGGGTTAGACCCCTGGGTTTTGAAGATGCCCTGCAGAAGGGAATGCCAAACCCCTCCAGTATTCTTGCCTGAAAAATCCCGTAGAGAGAGGAGCCTGGTGGGCTGCAGTCCATGGGGTTGCAGAGTTGGACTTGACTGAGTGACTACCACTTAGAAACTTACTACGTATGTTACAGCTGAACACAGGGTGCTCTGCGAGTGCAGAGTAGGGGCATTTACAGGAGAATGGATCAGGGCAGGGAATGGGGATCCGGGAAGTCTTTCCTGAAGAAGCTAATACAAACGGGTTGAAATGGTGGGAGTTCAACTCCAGAGGTAGAAATGTAGGACTGATGAGCCTGCTGTGAAGTCCAGAGCCTCTGATGCGGAGTCTCACTTTAAGATCCTTCATTCTCGTGTTGAATACAGTGAAGCCGGAGGCCTGGCTGTCCAGTGGTCCCCCTCCCCAGCCTGGCCGCCTGCGGCTGGTCTGCCATGTCTCAGGATTCTACCCAAAACCCGTGCGGGTGACGTGGGTGAGGGGCGAGCAGGAGGAGCCTGGCACTCAGCAAGGAGACGTCATGCCCAACGCCGACTCGACTTGGTATCTGCGAGTAACCCTGGATGTGGAGGCTGCGGAGGCAGCTGGCCTGAGCTGCCGAGTGAAGCACAGCAGCCTGGGAGACCAGGACATCGTCCTGTACTGGGGTGAGGAGGAAGTGGAGCCCAGCTGGGGGTGGGAGGAGGAGGTCCTCAAGCCCAGAGGGAGGGCCTGGGGAAGGGGAGGAAAATGTCATGCCTAGGATGGAGGAAATGACGCCCCAGCCAAGAGTGATAGAAGGAGGGGATTCTCCAAGGGGAGGAATAAAGATCTGAACTCGAAAAGGATTGAGACAAGGTGTTCCACATACAAGAAAGAAGAGACTAAAATCCCCACAGATCCCCAGGTAGGTGGCAAGTACAGAATCCCAGGAAGGTTTGTTCCCTAGAAGAGGGAACTGGGGACTTTGAAAGGTAGGGTACCAAAGATAGGTGTGGTTTATTGAGTGCTTTCTCTGTGTAAGCTGAACACTCTGCATACAGCAGTGTATGTATAAACAATCATCCCCACTCTCCTTTGAGCAGGTACTGTTGTTTTCATGTTACAGATGAGAATTGAGGCTAAGCTAGGTCAAACTGCCATGAGTCTCATCATTAGAAACTGGAAGAGCTGTATTTTGACTTAGGTTTGGATTAGCTGTGAAACTAGTGCCTGTCTCCATATGTGTACCAGCATATGCTGAAGTGAATGGAATTATAGATACCCACACCTTAAAAAAAGATGGGGTGTCTATTAACTTCACAGAAATACAAGTGGGCACATTAGGTAGGACAAGAAATAAGCATCTGGCATGCTCACATGTGATTACAGTAGGGGACCTGATGCAGATTCCCGGACTGAGACACACCCTGTGTTCCCCCACACAGATGGGAACCGTTTCTCCACGGGCTTGATTGTCGTCCTGGTAATACTGGTGGTGTTCATCCTTCTGGTTGTTGGAGGCTTAGTCTTCTGGTTTAGGAAGCACTGGTAAGTCTCTCCTTTCCATCTCCTCCCAACCTCAACCCCTCTACCCACATTTTCTCCTCTTCCCTTATCCTTAATGGTCTCTGCTTTCTCTCACAGCCACTATCAAGATATCTCATGACTCTCCTCCCCACACCTATCTGTCTGGACTTCAGGATCTCAGGGCTTTAGCCCTCAGAATTTGAAGGTGAAAGAGAGCTACCTTGAAGAAGCAGAGAGAGAAACCTTTGCAATATTTGAGGTGTTGTTCAGTTGCTCAGTCGTGTCTGACTCTTTGTGACCCCATCAGTTCAGTTCAGTTGCTCAGCATACCAGTCTTCTCTATCCTTCTCCATCTTCTGGAGCTTACTGAAACTCATGTCCATTGAGTCAGTGATGCCATCCAACCATCTCCTGCTCTGTCGTCCCCTTCTCCTGCCTTCAATCTTTCCTTACTTCAGGGATTTTTCTAATGAGTCAGCCAAATACTGGAGCTTCAGCTTCAGCATCAGTTCTTCCAATGAATATTTTGGTTTGATTTCCTTTAGGAATGACTGGTTTGATCTCTTTGCAGTCAAAGGGACTCTCAAGAGTCTTCTCCACCACCACCGTTCAAAAACATCAATTCTTTGGCACTTACCCTTCTTTATCGTCCAACTCTCACATCCATACATGACTATTGGAGAAACCATAACTTTAGCTAGACGAACCTCTGTTGGCCAAGTACCGCCTTTACTTTTTAATACGCTGTCTAGGTTTGTCATAGCTTTCCTTCCAAAGAGCAAGCATCTTGATTTCATGGCTGCAGTCACCATCTGCAGTGATTTTGTGTGGGAACCATGTTTTACTGATTTCTCAGAAATACCTCCTGGAATTTAATACTCATTCTCTCTTCCTTGCTTGCTCTCCCCCACCCTTAATTTAAATGTTCTGACTGACATGTCATCATTAGCTAGATGTTGTTCTGTACACAGAACAAACCCGCTTATCTTCAAAGACCTTTCCTACGACTCTTATATGGTTACCTCCAGACCTCCAGGAGGAAGGCTCCTTGATCCCTGAATTCTAGTCTCTGTCTTGCTTTCCTGCTCATACTTAAAGATTACAAGATAAGTTACCAATAAAATATGTGCTCAGCACGTTCTTGGGGAGTTGCTTGTCTGAACGCTCTCCCTGTGCTGTCTGTCATAATACTGTGTGTTTGTATTATTCAGTGTGATACCACCACAATTTTGGAGCCCAAGAAAATAAAGTCTGTCACTGTTTCCATTGTTTCCTGATCTATTTGTGATGCAGTAATGGGACTGGATGCCATGATCTTAGTTTTTTGAATGCTGAGTTTTCAATCAGCTTTTTTTGGGATCTGGGATAGTCCAAATACACCTCTGCTGGATGACCCTAGGCCTCCCAGTTTCTGTCTGTGATATCAAAAGTTTGTCCTGAATGATACATTGAGAATTTTAAGAACCTTCTCTGGTAGTTCAGATGGTAAGGAGTCGTCCTACAATGCAAGAGACCTAGGTTTGATCCCTGGGTCAGGAAAATCACCTGGAGAAGAGGATGGCAGCTCACTCCAGTATTCTTGCCTGGAGAACCCCATGGACAAAGGAGACAATCCATGGAATCACATAGAGTTGGTCATGACTGAGTGAGTAATGCTTTCACGTTCACTTTCAGAACCTAGTTTCTATTTTGAACCTGAATTTACAAAGAGAGACATTTTAAAAGAAAGGTTGTAGGAAACAGAGGTGTGTCAAGTTTTTTTAGTTCATGTAACTTGATTAAAAGAGGAGACATCATAGTGTGGGTATATAATTTCAAAAAAGCTACTTTTTCATAGTGATATTTCTCTCATGTGGCAAGTTATTTTTTTCGGAGTGGACAGAGACAGATTCTCCCACTTACAGCCATTAAATGAGACTATACATGAGCTAGGCTGAATCCATTTGGGCAGGCATGAGCGCTCGCGGATGGCCCAGCTGCCTGCTGTATTCTTAGCCGAGATATAAGAAGCCAGAAACGCAGAGGAACAGCAGCCCTTCCTGATGTGAAGAAATTTGAAAGTCAAGATAAAATCATCTGTTAGCTACCAGGGAAGTAATCACTTGGCACTCAAGGCCCTTGAACATCCAGAAAAAAAGACTAAGCTTTTGAAGTCTTTGCTTGAGAAAATGAAGATTTGGCATTTTCTGTGTTGGACTTGCAGATAAAACCTAGAATGTGTGTGGAAATGTAGCTAGTTTCTAAATCCATGGTTTCCAAACTGGTTTCCTAGCCTGTAAGTCACATCACCTGGAAAGTTGCAAATGATGTTGGGCACCCCCTGCCAATGAGTCCTACTAAATGAGAAATCATAGGAGTGGGGCCCAATCATCTGTGTTTTACAAGCCCTCAGGTGATTCTGGGGGCTTCACAGGTGGTCAGTGGTAAAGAATCTGCCTGCCAATGCAGGAGGTACAAGAGATGTGGGTTTGATCCCTGGGTCAGGAAGATCCCCTGGAGAAGGAAATGGCAACCAGCTCCAGTATTCTTGCCTTGAAAATTCATTGGACAGAAGATATCTGATGGGCTACAGTCCATGGGGTATGAAACAGTCATACATGACTGAAAGACTTGGTGTATGCACACACACACACACACACACACACACACACACACAGAGGAAATTCTGATGTTCAGTTTAAGTTAGAGAATCACTGTTTGTAAGTACTGTACATTGCTATGCAACAGATTCCTCAGAATGCAAAATGAAATGTTGGCTTGCGGTTAGTTAGGGAAGTTCCTCAAGAGGGAGGGGAAATGGAAGCCGGAAGTCGAGATCCACTGAAGTGAACCAACAAGTGCACTAGATCAGGAGACAAGGATCTCTGCTGCCTCACTTCATTTCTGTGCCAAAAGGGGACTCTAATGTCTGTTTTGATCACGCTGCAGATTGAATGTTTGTGTCCTCTGTCCTCTGTTGAAAACCGAATACCCAAGGTGATGGCTTTAGATGGTGAGTCCTTTTGGAGGAGATTAAACCGTGAGGCCTGAGCTCTCATGAATGGGATTATAAAAAGTGTCCTTGTCTATATATAGCACAGGGAACTCTACTCAATACACTGTTATAATCTGTATGGGAAAAGATCTCAAAAAGAATAATATGTATATGTATAACTAAATCAATTTTCTGTACACCTGAAATTAATGCAACATTGTAAATCAGCTATACTCCAGTACAAATCATTAAAAAGGTGTTTGTCTCCTCCACCACTTGAGAAGCAAGACACAGCAAGAATATGCTGTCTATGAACCAGGAAGTGCACTCAGTTGATCTGGTAGTTCTCAGCCTCCAGAATTGTGAGAAAAAAAAATTTCTCTTGTTTTTAAGCCACCCAATCTATGGTATTTTGTTATAGTAGACAAGTGGACAAAGATAGATAATCTTAGAAATGCCTTGGGAAGCAATGTGTACAAATGTGTGGCAGTCCACAATGCTTGTTTAAAAATGTAGCACCTGTGAACAGTTTTTGGTACCATGCTGACCTCAGGGGATGCTCTTCTGCTTAGCTTCCTTGAGCAGTGTCTAGCTTCTGAACAATCCCATTGGTCTTCTATAGTTTTCAGGCATGTGTGTTAATGTCCTTTCTGAAATCTTTTCCAGAATGCTTCAGCATGAATTTACCATAACTCTGGTTGATTGTTTAAATAAATAAATAAATAAATAAATAAATAAATAAATAAATAAAGTTTACTTTTTTGGCTGCACTGGGTCTTCTCTGCTGTGTGCAGGCTCTCTCCAGCTGCGCGGAGCAGGAGCTCCTCTTCAACGTGGTGCGGTGGTTCCTCATTGCACTGGCTTCTCTTCTTGGGGACCACAGGCTCTAGGTGCTTGGGCTTGTAGTTTGGGGCACGGGCTTAGTTTCTCCATGGCATGTGGAATCTTCCTGAAATGAACCTCTGACCCTTGCATTCACAGGCAGATTGTTAACCTCTGGACCACCCTGGAACTCCTGCTCTGGTTCATTTTTAAGCAACTTTGGTTTGTTTTGGAAGTAAATGTTTATTTCTCCAGGAAATTGTGTCTCTGTCCTTTAAATACTCACTTCAAGACATCTCAGAAAATCCTTCGAATTCATTTCAGAATGTTTATTCTCTTTATGGGTATTGTGTTCCTTATTGAGGGCTGTGCTGAAAGTCAATTTATTGACCCTTAAGTCACGCTTCATCTTAGACTCTGATAATCGGTGAAATTCCTCTAATCATTTCTTCTTCAGAGTGAGCACCATGTTAAACACGTTTTCAGTAGAGGACCCTGGAGAGGCAGTGTTGGAGGGAGGAGCTCTCCTGTAGCGTCTGGCTGCAGCGGGTCAGGTCAGTGGAGTGGGTGAGAAGGCAGCCTGTGGGTGCTGCCCCAGCCACGTGCCCAGAGCTCATGGACACGCGGCAACCTTGCAGCTTCAGCCTGGCAGTCACCTTCCCATGGAAAGCAGCACTCTGAAGGCTTCTGCCCCTCCTAGTGCCCTATCCTCTCTTTGGATGCTCACATGGCCGGTGCTAAGTTCATCTCCTGCCCAGAGCTTTCTGCTGAGTCTCACTCTCTCTGCCTGCCCTCACCTGGGGCTGGAGAAAGGCTTTCAGCTTCTCTGGTGACTGCAGACCAGCTGTGCCCTGAACAAACCTGTGAACTCTTGTGTTACCCAAGGGGCTGAACTGCACCTTCTCCAAGGAGATCTACACTCTAGCCTGTTGTTCTTGTTCATTCTCTTAGTCATGTCTGACTCTTTTGGGACCTCATGGACTGCAGCACAGCAGACCCTCACCATCTCCCGGAGTTTGTCCAAGTTCATGTCCATTGAGTCGGTGATGCCATTCAACCATCTCAACCTCTGTTGCCCCCTTCTCCTTTTGCCTTCCATCTTTCCCAGCGTCAGGGTCTTTTTCAGTGAGTAATCCAGCCTTGGGGAGGGGTAATCCTTCCAACTTTATTCTGCCTTAGATGTTCTCCATAAGCCCTAAAGTTCCATGTGGAGTTTTCTTGATCTTTCCCATTATCGTTTCATAATTCTATTAAAGTTCATCTGTTTAGCTCACTGTATGGTTTCTATTTCCTAATTGGACTCAGGTCATACATATGTCTACTCTTGACCATACACAGAAAATCTGAACTTTCCAAAGCTATTTCTTGGCTTTTCTTTTGCTCATAAGTCTATGGCATGGAGTTGACCCACTTTGCTGTGTGGTTTAGCTCTTCCTCCAAGAGCTCGGATTTCATGTTCTCTGCAAAACCATCCCCAGGAGTCATTAGCTGCCCCACTTTTAGTGCACCTGCTCGTCTCATTCACAGGGACTTGTAGTTGAGAGGGGTAAATAGTTTGACCAGGACAGGTGTTAACTGTCCCATGTTCTGGCTCAAACTTTCTGTTGATTTATTATTTTCTATCTGTGCTGTGCAGTTGCTCAGACTACCACACAATTGCACTCATCTCACTCTCTAGTAAAGTAGTGCTCAAAATTCTCCAAGCCAGACTTCAGCAATATGTGAACCTTGAACTTCCAGATGTTCAAGCTGGATTTAGAAAAGGCAGAGGAACCAGAGATCAAATTGCCAACATCCACTGGCTCATTGAAAGAGCAAGAGAGTTCCAGAAAAACATCTGCTACTGCATTATTGAATATGCCAAAGCCTCTGCCTGTGTGGATCACAATAAACTGTGGAAAATTCTTTAAGAGATGGGAATACCAGACCACCTGACTTGCCTCCTGAGGAATCTGTATGCATGTCAGGAAGCAACAGTTAGAACTGGACATGGAGCAACAGTCTGGTTCCAAATAGGAAAAGGAGTATGTCAAGGCTGTATATTGTCACCCTGCCATTTAACTTACATGCAGAGTACATC